TGTAATAAAGACCGCTCACTGCAGCTCTCTCTCCTTGTGCAGGGTGACTGGTCTTGTCTCTGCCCCTTCCTGTAATAAAGACCGCTCACTGCTGCTCTCTCTCCTTGTGCAGGGTGATTGGTCCTGTCTCTGCCCCCTCCTGTAATACAGACCGGTCACTGCTGCTCTCTCTCTTTGTGCATATTGTCCACCTGAGTGATAGCGACTTCACTTACTGTTGCTTTGCCCATGACTCCCTGAGCAATTTTTACATTTCCCAATCACTCCTTGATGGGGCACCTTCCTTGCAGGTTGGCCTATGTATCTGGTCTGATTATGCGCCTATAAACTCAACTTTGGGTCCCGCACGTTCTTCTTCTAGACCATTTTTCTACAGATTAAACGATAATTTTCTCCTAGATACAATTTACAAATTTGCTATTTCTAAGCCGAGCTTAGAGAGTTTGCTGGGTTAAATATGTTGCTGGGTTCTTTATTTGTTTTAATCTGGATTCAGTATTTAAAAAAAAAAATGAGAGTTTTAATATTACTTTAAAGGAGAACTATGAGGTGAGTGCTTTAGGGGTGACAACCTCAGCACCCCAGTTGTGGTGAAATGACAAATCTCATCATGCCTCTGCCTATGGGGGTCATGCCTGTGGCTGTCAGTCTTGCAATGCCTCGTGGGACTTGTAGCGCCACAAAAGTGGAGGTTGCTACCCCTGTTTCTACATTAAAGGAGAACTATGAGGTGAGTGCTTTTCACTCCTGTGACAATGAGACTGTCACAGGTCGGCTTAGTAGATCGGGAGGTGAGCGAACACATACCGGCGTTCGCTCCCCTCTCGATCCTGTCACAGCTCTCTGCCGTGACAGGGGAGGGGCTGGATTCCCCCCTCCCCGCTCCGATCTGCCAGCGCTGACGGGCGGAACGGATGGGGAGGGGGCGGGTACAGCTGGCTCTGCCTCTAGATAGACAGAGCCAGCTGTCAGTCACACAGCTGGGCGGATCCCGGCATAATTGTCGGGATCCGCTTCAGCTGCGGCGTCTCAGTATACCGCGAGCTGTGGCTCGCGGTATACTGAGCCTAGGGTAATGGGAGGACACTAGTTTGTGTCCTCCCGTTACCCTAAGGAGAACTATGGGGAAAAGACTTAACCGCAGCCCCCGCTGCACAGCAGCACATACTCATATACCGGCTTTGCTTCCCTGCCTTCCATTGGCTAAATGATTAAAAAAAAAAAGTTGAACTTCCCGGTAAAAATGAGAATGTTTCACAGGAAGCTGGCACGGTGCGCCTACACACAGCTGTTCTAAACATAAGGAATTATTTAAAAACAAAATATGTTTTTGTTTCTCTGAAATATTTATCCTGGACCCGATCCAACTTGGATTTATTTTTCTTTAACCGCGAATGTATTTCAGTTTTATCAGGCTGTGATCATGTCATTTTATTGTCAGTCGCATTGTGGAAGGCGCCTATAAAGGTACAGACCTCTGAAGTGTTCACATTGATGCTCTGTTTAATGTATTACTGGTACAGACCATGAAATTGATGTGCCCACTTTAAAGTGGAACTCCAGGCAAACAGCTAAATAGTTGGAAAGGAACTTAAAGCGGACCTTTACCCAGATCTTTACAATAACATCAAGCACACCTTTAGAAATGTTTAGTAATGACAATCTACAAACACATCTATACTATTGCCGGATCTGTATTCTTTGCATTCCTTATTTCTCTTTTCTTCCCCAGTCTTCTGACAGTTGTCATGGGCAGATTACTAGCTCTCATTTTACTTCCTGCATTTCTGGCACATGTGACTAGGACATGTGACCAAGCACATCATCTCAGGGGTAGGAAAATGCCTTTCCCTGAGATCTCCTGAGATTACAGATGTGATTTCCCAGCAATGCTCTGCTGATGGCAAGGCAATCCCAGTGTACATTGCTTTGCCAAACTGAAGTCATTTTGCCCTTTCAAAGCAGGAAGTGAATGCTCTGCAAGTGTCAGTATTTCACAATCACAGCATTTTACACCTGACACGGCTGTTATTATTAATCATCATATATAGGGGGTTGGATTGGTAGAATTTGATTCATGAATGTAAAGGTCCGCTTTAATTCTACACCTTCCACCCCACCCGGTGTCCTCTTGCCCACCTTACCGGTGTCATAGTAACCCGAGCAGTGAATCAAGCGTTGCTCGGTTAGGATTCGCCCTTCAGGTGATGCTCACTGGGTCCAGCGCCACCATCTTTTTCTCTGAAGTTATCAGGAGCTAGCTGTCTCTTCTGGGTTTAGGCAGCCTGGCCTCCTGATGACATGCGCCAGATCTGCCCTCCTCCAGTGCCTTGTCCATCCTTCTCATGTACCGTATAGAACAGGGGTCTCAAACCTCCGGCTGTGGTGGAACTACAAATCCCATGAGGCATTGCAAGATTCTCACAGCCACAGGAATGACTCCCGCAGAGAGATGCATCATGGGATTTTTAGTTTCACTACAGCTGGAGGGCCGGAGGTTTGAGACCCCTGGTGTAGAAGCTGAAAGCTCCTGGGATATGTGACATGCATATCCCAGGAGGCTTCAGGAGCAGGGACACATCATTCTTCTCCACAAAATGAAGACAAGGGGTGGGCTGGATAGTAACTCTCAAGCAACCAGAAACTACAGTTATCCAACATCTACTGATCCCTGTGGGTGCTGGATAACTGGGAGTTTACTCTATTTTTACAGCAAATAAGAATAGAGTTCTTTATTCAACAGCAGGTTGAACAAAGAACATATTATGGAGTATGGCCAGCTTAAGTGCACAAGTAGCAACCTCATTCTGCTATCTTGCTAATAGGATAGAGGTGATGATGCTGGGACCTTGTCCAGGCTGGATACACCAGTGACACAGGACATTGCACTGCTGTGCCAGGAAATAGGGTTGTCACCTGCTTGGCCGTGCATTGTGGTAGGTCATGGTAGATCTGTAAAAATTAAGTCAAGGCAACCGGACTTGCGGTATTTGCCTTGACTTTAGAGCTGCAGCTAACGATTATTTTCAAAATCGATTAGTTAGCCGATTATTAAGTTCGATTAATCGATAATTTTTACAGATCTACCATGACCTGGATGAATGACAACCTTCACAGACATATTGCGGTAGATGGTGTATTACAAGACTGACTTGTATTTTAACATGTGTGTCTGGGGATCCACTAACCATTGTTTCTGCTCTTTGCACGTAGAGGTTGTGACTTGTAAGGATCGGTGTGGAAGTGGCGTAGCAGCGTGTGTTGCGACTCGTATGAAATGTCTGCCTGTAGTGTGATACGATGGTGGGACATTGCCAGGAATATTGCATTACTGCGATACCTCTGCAGCCTGTTCCCGGCCCTAATCCACAAGCAGCTGAGATTCCACATCCAGCCAAATACCAGAGTCTTCTGGCACACAACGGGGCCTTCCGGGACACTTCAAGCACCAGCTGGGGTTTCAGCGACCCCTTCTCATCAGCTTCTGTGCTGTACGTGTGTTATTTCACTGAACTATTGATCCCCGCCGCTGAAAGGAGAGAAGAAACTTTGTTTCTTTTTTATTCACCATTTAGGCACTGGAAAGCATTCAGCACCGAGATGATCAGTTGCTTTGTTGCTGTTGGTTTCTGTCTGTTGTCTCTCTCTAGCCCCTTTTCAGGGTTAGTTCACACCAGTCACACTGTGTTCTGGCCCGATTGGCACTGGATCACATTGTGACCGGATCACTTTGTGTTTGGGCGGGAGGGGGGCCTGTCGGTGCATTGAACTCAATGGCACCGCAACCACGCCCTCCGTCCACAGTGCGATCAGCCGCACGGGAACTCGTGGCACATCAATGCCTGCATTCTGGTCCGGACAGAAAAAATAGTGCATGCAGCATTTTTTCTGATCGGACCAGACCGGAATGCAGGCATTGTCCCTGTGCAATGCAGGCAGATCATGGCGGGGGG